ATTTCAGTCAGACAAGTACTCATTTCAAAGATTTTATACTTCATGGAATCAAGAAGCAACAAGCCATAAATCTGAAAGGCAACAACAAAATAAAGAAAAATGCCCACCCTCAGCTGGACAGACTTACTCTCAACGATTCTTTGTTCCTCCCACTTTCAAGTCAGTTGGTAATCCAGTTGAAGCACGTAGGTGGTTGAGACAAGCTAGAGCAAATTTTTCAGCTGCCAGGAATGACCTTCATAAAAATGCCAATGAATGGGTATGCTTTAAATGTTACCTTTCTACCAAATTAGCTTTGATTGCTGCTGACTATGCTGTGAGAGGAAAGTCTGATAAAGATGTAAAGCCAACTGCACTTGCACAAAAAATAGAGGAATATAGTCAGCAACTTGAAGGACTGACAAATGATGTCCATACTTTGGAAGCTTATGGTGTAGACAGTTTAAAAACAAGATATCCTGACTTGCTTCCTTTCCCACAGATTCCAAATGACAGGTTCACTTCTGAGGTTGCTATGAGGGTAATGGAATGTACTGCCTGTATCATAATAAAACTTGAAAATTTTATACAACAAAAATTGTGAAAGTATTAAAAAAAAAAAATAGAGCTACATCATGAATGAATTGCTATCCTTCCTGACTTCATTGCCACTTATTGAGGAATTGCAGATTGTTTGAGAAGAATTTTGGAGTTCTTAGGAATATCAATATTCATAGAAGATTTTGACAGAATCTAAAAGAAAGTTATTTTTAAGATGATGGTGAACTGAAAAATTGCTAGATGTATTTGAATGACTAGGATCGCACCATATAGAACTGCACTTTACATCATCAAAGCTTAGCAGTTTGTTAGAAAAGAATATGTCTGTTTAGGATGAATTTTATGTTTTTAACATGATTCTTTTGAAGGGGCTAATGAAACACTGGAATATCATTACTTTAAACAAAAAAGGGGAATTAAGTCTTGGAATTTTATCCTTTATTTAAATGGATCCTCTTGGATGTGCTGTTTTCTTATCAGCTGGATCTGATTATAAATTTGTTGCAATTTTACATCCTAAATACTCAGTACATTTGAAAAACGGTACCATATTTTAATCCTGAATATTACTTGATTTAGAATAGGCAGATAGTACTTCGAGTGCATATTGAATCTGTATTCTAAAAGTTTTTTACACCTTATGTTTACAGGTTTCCTCTTTCATGAAGATAGCATATGGGAAACTCAAAATTGTGGCAGTTCTTATCACCAGATGTTATTATATTGCTTCCAAGAACTGCTTACCAAAACATTTATCAACTGGTAGAACATTTGTTTTAAGTTTGTACGTATTTTCCACAAATGTCATAATTTATGTAGTGTGGTTGAATAGGATGCAATCTTTTGTTGTCTAAAGGTGCTGCAGTTAAAAATCTTATGTCTTGGATTTTACTTTGAAAAACATTGAAAAAAATGTATTGTGACAATATTCAGTAGTTTATAAAAGAGTAATTATCAGCTTGTATTTTCCCTATGAGTGATTCTAAACTGACAGCTAAATTATGTTTGAATGTCCTACCATAGGTATTTACTTAACATATTTCTTTTGGAGAATGTAAAAGAAAGGTAACAATTAGTTTAAATATGTGTGCTGGCTATAAATGATGCTAAATATAATATTTTGTGCAATTAAGGACTTATAGAACATTAAAACTTTTTTACTTTTATTGGTAATAAGGAATGCACCGCAACGATTCTATTGTTTCTGGTTGTGAAGCCCCGTAATTATTTCTGCTGTTATATTAAGTGCCATAATTTTAATAAAGCAAATGTATATATGAAATCATTGTGACTGGTATTTTCTGAGAAATACTTCATTGAAAATCAAACTTAATATATCCCTATATTAAGTTTTGATATGTGTATTATGTATATGAGTTTATAGGAAATATTACAATTAAGTTTCCCTATATTTTTATCCTGGAATTTTAGTAGGTTTCTTTTGTATGATTGAACATAAAGTACTAGGTTTATAAGGTTGTTATTGAGTAAAAAGTTTATTTTACTTTACATTTTAGGAAATAAGATTAGTTTTATATAGTATATTCAGGTGGGGCAAAAGTAGGTTTAGAGTTGTGAATATGTAAAAGTTTATTCTGTATTATTATTTATTAATAGTATTATTTTCCATAAAAACAACTATCAAGCTACTTTTGCCCAACCTGTATATTTATGGATTTGAAAATAGATACTTTAAATATGGTTCTTCTGTAGGTAGTGGCTGAATTGATATTTTCCTTGTCTCAAGAGAGGGGTTCATGTTTGGGGCTAATTCACACTTGAGCCCTCACAGGTAGGAAATGTTCATCTATATATCTGAGATGCAAGTCTTCAAAGTTAGACAGAACAATGCTGCAAGTTCTGTCTTCTAGGACTACCCAGATTCTGGATCTTCAGCTTTCTGGGCGTTTTTAAAGAAGTATTTGCTACTTTGGAATTCAGTTTCAGCACTTAGAATGTATTTTATTGCTTTAAGGCACATGTGTCAAACACAAGGCCCGTGGGCCAAATCCGTCCCGCCAGGCCTTGCAATGTGGCCCGCACCGCACTGTCATCACTACACTCCACTGCGTTTCCATCACAATGACAGTTTATGACTGTTCAGTAAACCATTCGGCCCGTGATTTAGGCTGGATTTTAGATTTTGGCCCCTTCTCTGATTGAGTTTGACACCCGTACTTTAAGGTATTAAAACTTACACAGGAAACCTTGTCTGGCCTTTATGATAGTTGATCCAGTTGGAGTTTTATGGGGATTCTTTTTTTAGACTTTCTTTTAAAAAATATTTATTTTGATAGTATTATAGATATCTGACATTCTACACCCACTCTTCACCCAACTCCCAGCTCCTACACACCCCTTAATGTCTTCACTAACCTATTGCCCGTGTCCCTGTAGACTTTCTTTTTTTAAAGTTACAGGTTCAGCCCTCGCCTGTGTGGCTCAATTGGTTGGGTGGGTGTCCTGTGCGCCAAAAGGTTGCCAGTTTGATTCCTAGTCAGCACACATGCCCAGGTTGTGGGCTCAATCCCTGGTAGAGGGCATGTAGGAGGCAGCTGAAAGATGGTTTGATCTACATCTGTGTTTCTCTTCCTCTCCTCTCTAAAAATCAATTTAAAATTTTGGAAAAAAAAAAATTTGAAATAAAGTTACAGGTTCACAAACCTTTGTATGAAACCCTTGGATTAAGTTTTAGGATGTTTTTAATGTAGCATTCTCATCAGGGTTGATGCTTTTGCAGTGAAATCTGTGAATGTTCACACCAAATTGAATACATATTGTAGATCAGATAAATAGCCTCGTCTAAATTTAGGTCAGGTTTTGCTGCTGACATTTGGGAAATTTTCATTTTGGGGAGCATTTAGAATTTGAAATTCAAGGCAAGAAATTTTAGGCCTTAACTAATTATCTTAAGATTTTTCTTTCTTTTCCTCTGTTATGCTTTTTGTATTAAAAGAGAAATGGAAACTCAACCTGTACAGTAGCTGCTCCTGAGTAGCATGCAGTGTAGAACGGTTGGAACAGGCTTCTGCCCTTGAGCAGGTTCTGCCAGGTTGGAGAGGGAAGAAAGTTTCCTGGGCAGAAGGGCTGAATTGTTCATAGCCTCCATGGGAAAACTAGTGAACACCTGCACAGTCCAATTAGTTTAAACGCCAAGCTGGAGGGGGAGTGCGGCGTGCTGAGAGCCCAGGAATGTTGTTGGTAAATGTTCAAATTGTGTTTAATAAAATAAAGTTGTTTCCAGATCTGATTGGGGATGGGTGGGATTTTCTTCTATTTGTGCAAGTTTGCTGTACTTTTTTTTTATTTTAGATGTCAAGAATTTGTAGTGCTGGTAGAAAATAAGAAATAGAAAAATTTTAACTAGTCATGTATTAATCAGGGGTTGCAATCGATACTAAATATTATTTCACAAACCAAGAGTCTGATTTTATAAAGTTACTAGAGGCCCAGCGCACAAAATTCATGCACAGGTAGGGTCCCTAGGCCTGGCTGGTCATCAGGGCCAATCGGGGCTTTCAGGCTGCCACCCTGGGCCTCCCTTCATTCCACACTGCCCCCTGGTGGTCAGCACATATCATAGTGAGCGATTGGTCTCACAGTCGAACTCCTGTGGACAATTTGCATATTAGGTATATATTAGGCATTGTGTATATGAAAGTACACAGGATGGACAGTTATGAGTCCTACCACCTACTAGCTGTTTATGACAAAACACATTTGGACTTCAGTTCTTTCACTTGTCAAGAGAGTATTATTCCATCTACACATTTATGTAGATTAGTATTTTGGATGGAATGAAACAACATACCAAAGTTTTTCCATGTGAAAACAGCTGTTCAAATGTAGGGTCACAATTTAATTTCCAGTAGATATTGTATGACCTAGTGACTTGTTCTACCTGAACCATTTTTATCACCAGTAACTTGGGGAAAATAATACATACCTCAAAGAGTTGTGAGGATTAAAGAAAATAAGATGCTCAAACCGTGAAGTTTGGGGGAAATGTAAGCTGATTTTTATTGCTTGTTGACTAAAGAAAGCATGATTAATTTTGTGTGATTTATTCCTTTGACTACATATTGAAAATCAGATCAACCTTAAAGCCCATTTAAAATATGAACATTTTCTTGCAAAATAAAGAGAGGAATCACAGGTTTGAGTGATATAATGAAAATACATCATAGAACTTTGGGTCATCTTAGTATTGACTAATGCTACTTTTAAGGGGAGTTAGATAGCCACAACTGGACATCATAAATTAGCTCCACACAGCAATTCACTATTTCATTGTAGATTGACATGTACAAGAAAGGGAAAGAAAATTCACGAGATTCTTATAAAATCAACCTAGTAACATTCTTTTGTCATTTCTTTGGCTTTTGCATCTACCACCCACACAACATTCATCTGAACCCTTTCATTGGCAGAGTTTTCTTTCTGACTTCTTTTTGAAAGTGTGTCCTACTTCCATCCACCACCTCAGTTTTCCAGGGTGTCAAGTTGCTCTAAGTGTGAAGGTTTGAAGTCTTTAAAGTTCACTGAAACAAGGCAGATTCTCCATGGAAGGTGTGGGTGGTTTAGGTACAGATGTGACTGTGTTCATGACATGTGGTACTTATACCAGCCACAGACAGGTAAAGCTTCCCATCTGGACACACACAAATTTCATAGAGTCTTTGAGAGCTGCCAGCAGGACCCTGAGTCCCCTGAACCAATTTGGGTAAACATACAGTTTCAGTATCAAGCACAAGCTGTTTGGGAGAAAATGAGAGATTAATTGGTAAGGAGGAATGAACATGATAAGCATAAAATTCATATTCTCAACATTCTCTAAACATTAGTTTTTCTCAGCATAGAAAATAAAATATAATAAGCACCTGCTTTTACTTGTTATAACTATCTGAATTTTTTATAGCCTATTTCTATTTTACATTCAGGCAAAGTGTTAATAATTCTCCAATTTGGAGTGAAATCATATTTACTTTCACCCATTGTACAAGTTGAGCTAGGAAAATTTATAATGCTACACTCACAAAAATGCCTTTCAGGATTACCTGACAAAAGCAAAACTAGAATTCTTTTGCTGATTCACATATATCTTGTGATCCACTTTGACAGCTCCTCCCTATTAGAATAAATTGCAAGCCACAGAAATAGATTAAATATTTTTTACCTGTGAATGTTGGAATTTCTCCTGATTTTATTTTCTGTGAAAGGCAATTACATTTATCCTATTAGCTATCAACTATTTCCCTAGCTTTAAATATATTTGAAACTCCTGCCTTCTATTAGATGCAGAAAAGCAGTAGATAGTGATAAAAGCCAACTAAAATAAAAGCTACTGAATTTTGTGTTTCTATTATATAATAGTTAAACTGAAATGCAAGCAAATGGCCATTGGTTGAGATTTGGAAAAGTTTTTGATAACTGAAGGCAATAAGAATTGTCACACTGAGCTGAGACCGGTTTGGCTCAATGAATAGAGCGTCAGTCTGCAGACTGAAAGGTTCCAGGTTCGATTCCGGTCAAGGGCATGTACCTTGGTTGCGGGCATATCCCCAGTAGGGGGTATGCAAGAGGCAGCTGATCGATGACTCTCTCTCATTGATGTTTCTAACTCTCTATCTCTCTCCCTTCTCTGTACAAAATCAATAAAATATATTTTTTTTAAAAAGAAAAAAGAAAAAAAGAATTGTCGCACTGAGCTGCAAACCGTACCTATCCTAGGGTGCTCACTTAGAAGAAATTAAAGCATGTTGTGGGTAGGCATAATGATCTTTTTTGCCAACAAATTTAGAACCTTTATTTTATTTGGCTCTCATCCTTGAACTCCAGTCTTTTAATAAAGTGATGTTTGCAGGTGTCCTTCCTCCTGGGACGCTGACTGCTGCCGTGTGAGGCAGGGGTGAAACAATATTAGTGGCATTACAGGAAAAGCTTTACCCTTATGGACTGGGACTCCTAGAATAAAAGTAATAAAATGTATATTTTTTAAAAGCAGAACCTATTTAATAGGTTATTGCCCAATGCTTTGGGTTCTGTGGATATTTGCTTTTTCCCATGTGTGTTTGATTTTTTTCTAGTTTGTCTGCCTTGCCTCTCTCCTTTCTTTTTTTTTTTTCTTTTCTTTTTTTTATGGATAATTGGTCAATTTTTTTCTAGCAAACTCTAGTCACTGGTAGTTCATGTACATCTTCATTGATCATCTTATGCTTTTGAGGGACAATATTTTGTGGGAGGTCACACATTCCTTCACTCTGAACTGGCCCCTAGTAATAAGGGAGAGGAACTTTAATTATGACTCAGACTGCTAAGATTGACACATAATTCATGGGGAGGGGGAGAATCATGTTATTTAAAAATTACAGTCCATATAAATGTTTTCAAGTTAATGCATTTTAGGAATATAATAACATTACAAATTAGTAATAAGATTCCAAATGTCTTGATTTCCATTTTTGCATTTATCTGTTAATGGCATCATAACTTTTTAAGTTAAAACTTGCAGGAGCTTTGCCAGACGACTTTTAATTCCATTCACTGCCTATCAGCTGGGTCTTGTCTATATTAATAAGCTGGCCATTTGTTGCCTCAACAACCTTCTTCTTAATATTACATAATTTCAAAATGTTGCCACCCATATTACCATATTGGCATTTTATAACCCTGTGACATAGTTAAGCAAATATTATTTTGCCTATTTGACAAATGAGAACATAGGGCACAGTGAGGCCTGTTCTCTTTGCTGAATTCAAATAGGTAATCTGTGAACTGACCTAGCACTAGAACAATCCATGTTGAGTAGCATGTGCTCCATTGCCTTGCTGTAACTGTGGCCTCTATCAGTAATGTTTTATTTCTGGACTTGAAGTTTCAGATTTTATCCTTATTGTAACTGACTTGAAGTTTCAGATTTTATCCTTATTGTAACTGACTTTTATCCTTATTTTCACTTAAACATAATTTGTCATAAGGAAGCCCAGTGCTGTAACAGATAATGGTTGTTACAGGTACCTTCCAGTGACCATATTGAGAAAAGTTGAATCACTGGGAAATAGAAAAGTTGATATTCTCTGTAAAATCTGAAAGTCTGTAGTATTTTTTTCAAAGCTGAAAATAGCAAGAGACTAGATGGCACAAATACCAGTCAAAGAAAGCTTCTGGGTCCAATATGGAATTATTTTAAACTTTCTTGGACCTTCTTTCAATGCTAAATTAACATTTGCCTTTTTTTTTTTTCTCACATTTTTTACTCTATGCTTTTCATAACATTTCTTTACAAACTACCATAAATTTAATATACTGATACCTTATGGACATGAGTATTGTCAAGACATGCAGTAGGAGCTTGATTAATTAAACTCACCATTCCATCATAACTATGAAAAATGATGTCCATTTGAGAAAGGGCCTTGACTTTCCCAGCATGAGCTTTAATATGAACCCCCTTTGGGGCATCCATGCTTAGACTTCGTGTGGGAGATTCTAATCTGAAATGAAAGAAATAAATCAAGGAAAAATAGTATTTTAAAAAGCCACTCCAAGAATGCCTCAATGAACAGCTTAGCACAGAAGATATAATCAGTAAGATATATATAGTACTTTCACATCATTCTTGAATGCTAATAAAATGTACATTATTCATTTAAAAATCCAGAAATAACGTGTAGTAAAGAAATTCACTTCCTATCTGTGAGAGTCTATTGAAATAGTATCCTGTAAAAACAGATAAAACAGTAGAGAGCCCTAACCTAATGCAATAACTTCAGATGGCATGGTTAAGCACTCTGGCATTCCACACCAGAAGAAAATGCTATTTGTGAATAACTAATTTTTTTTTTTTTTTTAATTTTAGCTAAGGCACAAACTTGTCTGGAAAAAAACAGACAAATTTAAGGGCAACATGTGCATCTGCTACATGTTCAAAAACAAGAATGTAAGTTAGGCATTCAGATTTGGTTGCTTTTTTTAAAAAAAAAAAATTAGAAAAGTTACAGGGCAAATACAAAGATTTCTTTTGGAAAAATATTGAATTGATGAAGTTAATAACACAGGATGGAAACTGACCTCGGCTGGCTTGATAGTGTACTCATAAAATTTATCAGAATATCTCTGTGATTAAGTCAAACATAATAGAGAAATTCTAGTAATATATGTACCAGAAAAAATTCTCCTACTTTTCTCTGCCTGCGAAACACTGAATTTCCACCTGATGGCACAATGTGAATACTTGAAAGATTTTTCAGTTGTTCCAACCCAACCCAACTCCAAAGTTCGAAAGGCTAATTGATTGACATGTTTAAAGGTCTATGAGAGGGAGAACAGAATAGAAAATGGTCTGCATCCTCCAGGAGTGTAAGATTAGAGTGCAGGTGGGTCACTGAGAGAAAAAAGGAAGTGATGAAGAAAAGAGAAGTACCCTTTTGTATAAAATACAAATATGCTATTGGAATAAATATTTAGGGGCGGAGGCTTTAGGCTTGGGGAGGTGCGGGGGGGAGGGGAGGAGGCGGGGAACCCCTTCCCAAGCCTAAAGCCTGGGGTGGAGGCTTTTGGCTTGGGAAGGGGCTGAACTTGGGATCAGAGGGAAGGGGAAAATATCAGTGGAAACATATCCTCAGGTGAGAATAAAAAGAAAAACAAAGAAAGAAATGTCATATCCTATGAAAGACACATCTTGAGAATGCTTAAAGAAAGTTGTCATGTTTTCATGGTTAAGGGACTGGAGTCTGTGTTGATGAAAACACCTTGGCGGCTATGGTGACTGGCAGTGGCTGCAGCAGCGGGGTGATGGGGCTGGTGCCTTCCCCTGATCAGACCCGTCACCTCAAGCAATGGGAGGCCAGACTGCAGCTTAGATCCACTCCCAATGGGGAGCGGGCTTAAGCCATCTGTAGGACATCCCCTGAGGGCTCCCCGTATGTGAAAGTGGGAAGGCTGGGCTCAGGGATCTCTCCCCAGTGCATGAATTTCGTGCACTGGGCACCTAGTACGTATGTGTATGTGTACCTGTATATATAAAGAGCCAGGGCCGTCACATCTCAAACAACCGAACAAACAACCGAACAGGCTTAGTGGGGTGACAAGGCCAGCAGGCGGTTAATGAGGGATGACCAAATGACTAAAAAAGCAGGCTGTGTGGGGTGACCAAACAACTGAACACCAGCCTGTATGAGGCTACCAGGCCAGCAGGGAGGTTAGTGAGGGATGACCAAAGGACCAAACAGCAGGCTGCATGAGGTGACCAGGCTGGCGGGGGGGGGGGGGGGGGGGGGGGTTTGTCAGTGAGGAGTGACTAAGCTGGCAGAGGGGAAAGTGAGGGGCGACCAGACCAGCAGGGGAGGCATTTGGGTACGACAAGGCTGGTGGGGGGTGTGAGGGACTACTAAGCCAGAAGAGGGGGGGGGGGTAATTAAGGGTGACCAGGCCAGCAGGAGGGGGCAGTTGAGGGTGACCAGGCCAGCAGGGGGGACAGTTGGTGGTGACCAGGTTGGCAAGGGGCAGTGAAGGATGACCTGGCCGCAGAAGGGGGAAGTGAGGGGCAATCAGGCCAGCAGGGTGAGGGCAGTTGGGACGACCAGGCTGGTGGGGGCATAGTTAAGGGCGATCAGGTCAGCAGGTGGAGGCAGTTAAGGGTGATCGACATGCAGGCAGGTGAGCCAGCGGTCCTGTATTGTGAAAGGGGTGTCCAACTGCCGGTTTAGGACCGATCCCCAGGATCTGACCTAAACAGGCAGGCAGACATCCCCCATGGGGTCCCAGATTAGAGAGGGTGCAGGCTGGACTAAGGGACCTCCCATCCCATGCATAAATTGTGTGCAATAGGCCTCTAATATAAAGAATAAATGTCTAGGTGAAGTAGGTGATTTTATGTAAAAATATAGCAAAGTTTGAGAGCATTATTCTAAGTGTTATGAGACAGTTACAAAAAGACACATACTCTGTGATTCCACTTTATGAGGTACCTAGAATAGTCACTTTCATAAAGACAGAACATAGAATGGTGTTTGTCAGGGACTGGGGGGAGGAGATTGATAAACTTTTTAATGGGCCCTGGCTGGGCAGCTCAGTTGGTTAGAGCATCACCCTGATACACTGTACATCAAAGTTCCATGGTTGTGGGTTCAATCCCCAGTTGGGGCACATACAAGAATCAAGCAATGAATGCATAAATAAGTAGAACAACAAATCTCTCTTTCTCTCTTTCAAATCAAGCAATAAAAAAAAAGTTGTTTATTGGAGACAATTTCAGTTTTACAAAATGAAAAGTTCTAGAGATGATGTTTGCACAGCAATGTGAAAAGTTCTAGTGATGATGGTTGCACAGCAATGTGAATGTTCTTAATACTTCTGAACTGTACACTTAAAGGTATTTAAGTTAGTAAATTTTGTGTTATATTTTACCACACTTAAGCTATACTGTATATACGTCATCATTTTTCCAACATTTTTTTGCAAATATGAATTTATCATGCATTTGATTTATTTCATATTGCTCTTTCTCTAATATTACCCAATGATACTTTTTTCCCATTGATTTGTAGACAGAGTGGAAGTGGAGAGAAGGGGAGAGAAACATTGCTTGGTTGCCTCCTGCTCCCACCCTGACTGGAGATTGAACTGCAACCGAGTTACATTCCTTTGATCAGAAATCCAACTTGTGACACTAACCACTGAGCAAACTAGCCAGAGCTACAGTACATGTATTTTATTAAATGTTTTATAAATTGACATTTTCAAGAATGCTTTTTTTAAATTTCAAACTCACAAAGACACCATTTTTTTCACTAAAGGTGCAAATATTTTGCCCTGTTTACAGCTGTATTGGAGATGGGTGGCATAACAAGAAAATATCAATTTTTTCTGTTAAAAATTGTAAACAATTTCAGGAAACTCATGCTAATACTTTTCATGGAAAAACGATGGCTCTGTGAAAGACACAAATCATAAGCCCACGGCTTATGAACTAAATGAACTAAAATTTGAGGCATAAGTTGATATTCCTGGGTCTCCCAGAGAAGAAAGGGCAGTCCAGTCAGATGGGACAACCTGTATAGAAGGATGGAGTGGGGTGGATGGCAGCATTGAAATCTGGGAGGACAGATCAGGCAGGGGTGCTGTGAGGGCTCAAGGCTGGACAGCCATCAGGAAGAGCTGGTAACTATGGAAGAAATTGAAGCAATCATCAAAAAGCTTCCAGCAAACAAAAGCCTGGGACCAGACGGCTTCACTGGGAAGTTTTACCAAACATTCAAAGGAGAACTAAAACCTATCCACCTCAGACTATTCCAAAAATTCAAGAGGAATCTCATTCATGAAGCTAGAATTACCCTAATACTGAAACCTGATAAAGACAACACAAAGAAAGAGAATTGCAGGCCAATATCCCTCATGAACATAGATGCCAAAATCCTCAACAAAATTCTAGCATTACATCAGAAAGATCATACACCATGACCAAGGAGAATTTATTCTAGGGATGCAAGGATGGTACAGTATCCACAAATCAACAAATGTGATAATCATATAAATAAATTGAAAGATAAAAATCACATAGTAATATCAATTGATGCAGAAAAAGCATTTGACAAAATCCAACACCCTTTTTTGATTTAAAAAAAAAAAAAAAACCTCAGCAAAGTGTAAATAAAGGGACCATAGCTGAACATAATAAAAGTCTCATATGACAAACCTATAGCTATCATCATCTCAATGTGCGAAAACTAAAAAAGAAAAAAAAGAAAAAAAGAAATCACCTAAGGAAAGGAACAAGACAGGGGTGCCAACATTCACCATTCCTGTTTGATATAGTACTGGAAGTGCTAGCCATAGCGATTAGACAAGAAGAAATAAGTTACCCAAACTAGAAAAGAAGAAGTAAGACTGTCATTATTCAGAGATGACATAACACTATACATAGAAGACCCTAAAGACTCCATCAAAAATTATTAAACTTAATAAATTAATTTGGCAGAATTCAAAATTAAACCCCAGAAATCTATGGCTTTTTTTTATACCAATAATAAACTCAGAGGAAGAGAAACTGAAAGAAAAATCTCATTTACCATTGCACCAAAAAAAAAATGAAGATACCTAGGAATAAACTTAACTAAGGAGGTAAAAGACCTATATGCAGAAAAACTACAGGACATTGAAAAAAGAGAAAGAGGAAGACATAAAAAGATAGAAGAACATACCATATTCATGGATTGATAGAATTAACATCATTAAAATGTCCATACTACCCAAAGCAATCTATAGATTCAATGAACTCCCCATTAAAATACCAACAGCATATTTCAAAGATCTAGAAGGAACTCTCCATAAATTCATCTGGAATAATAATAATAAAAAAGGCCTTGAATAGTTGCAGCAATCCTAAGGAAGAAGAATAAAATAAGAGGGATCTCAATACCATATGTCAAGCTATATTATTGTACAAGCCACTGTTCTCAAAACTGCCTGGTACTGGCATAAGAACAGACATATAGACCAATGGAATAGGGTAAAGAACCCAGAAATCAACCCAAACAACTATGCTCAATTAATATTTGACAAAGGAGGCAAGAGCATACAATGGAGTCAAGACATTCTCTTCAATAAATGGTGTTGGGAAAATTGGACAGATACATGCAAAAAAGAAACCTAAACCACCAATTTATACCATACCCAAAAATAAACTCAAAATGAATAAAGGACTTAAACATAAAATGGGAAACCATGAAAATATTAGAGAAATCCACAGGGAGGAAAATCTCAGACATATGCCGAAGCTATATCCTCACCAATACAGCTGCTAGGGCAATAGAAACTAAAAAGTTAATAAACAAATGGGATTACATCAAAATAAAAAACTTCTGAACAGCAAAAGAAAGCATCAACAAAACAACAGAAAGCCCACTGCATGAGAGAACATATTTGCAAATGTTATCTCAGATAAGGGTTTAATCACCAACATTTACAGGGAACTAATACAACTTAATAAAAGGAAGATAATACAATAAAAAAATTGGCAACAGACCTAAATAGACACTTTTCAAAAGAGGACATATAGAAGACCAAGAGACATATGAAAACATGCCCAAAGTCACTAATCATCTGAAAGATGCAAATCAAAATGACAATGGGGTACCATCTCACACCTTTCAGAATGGCTATCATCAACAAACCATCAAATGACAAGTGCTGACGAAGAAAAAGGATCCCTTATGCACTGCTCATGGAAATATAGACTGGTGCAGTCACTCTGGAGAACAGTATGGAGTTTCCTCAAAAACTAAAAATGGAACTCCCATTTGACCCCACCCAGTAATCCCACTTCTAGGAATATATCCCAAGAAACTAGAAACACCAATCAGAAAGTATATATGCACTCCTATGTTCATAGCAGCACAATATGCAATAGGTGATATTTGGAAACAGTCTAAGTGCCCATCAGCAGATGAGTGGATTAGAAAACTGTGGTACTTCTACACAATGGAATACTATGCTGCTGTAAAAAGGAAGAAACTCCTACCATTTGTAATAACATGGATGGACCTGGAGAACATAATGCTAAGCAAAATAAGCCAGTCAGAAAAAGGTAAATATCACATGATCTCACTCATTTGTGGAATATAATGAACAACATAGACTGATGAACAAAAACAGATTCAGAAACAGAGAAGCGTCGATCAGACCGTCAAACCTCAAAGGGAAGGGGGAGACATCAATCAGAGGACTTGTCTGCATGTATATAAGCATACCCAATGGGCACAGACATTCGGGGCAGACAGAGGTGAGGGCACGAGTGCAGGTCTGTGGCGGGCTGCGAGAGGGGATAAGAACACATGTGTAATATCTTAACCAATAAAGAATAAAACTCTTGTGGGCAAAAGAAATCAATCTCGTTACAATTGCTAAAATATTATTCTAGCACGTAGCCAGGTGTCTTCTATAAATGAGTATGTTTATATTTGAACAACATTTTTACCTCAACTCCTGAAATGGGTCAGCTGTTATGAGGGGTGTTTCTACTGAATGTTCAAAAAGAGCTCCTTCAGGCCCTAAACAAAAAACAAAGATTCATCATCTTACAAAAGTAAAATTAGTGAAACATCAAACAGAATATTTAGACTATACAAAAGCACAAGTAAGTTCTGATCTTTGTTGCTGAATTTGTGCAGATGTTTGAATTGCAGGAAAAAAAGAATAGGCATGTCCTGGCCAGTTGCTCAATTGGTTGGAGCATTTCCCCAAAGAATGAAAGGTTTTGGGTTTGATTCCTGGTCAGGTCACACACGTAGGTTGTGGTTTTGATCCCCAGTTGGTGGGATATGTATGAGAAACAACCAATCAATGTTTCTCTCTCTCTCTCTCTCTCTCTCTCTCTCTCTCTCTCTCTCTCTCTCTCTCTCTCTCTCTTTCTCTCTCTCTCTCTCTCTCTCTCTCTCTCTCTCCCCCTCCCTCCCTCCCTCCCTCCCTACTTCCTTCCTCTCTCTAAAATCCATAAAAACATATCCTCCAGTACCTTGAACCTTCACGAGCGAGATGTGAGTGTGTGGAGGCTGGGTGTCCCCAAAGAGACAGAATTCTCTTCCTCTGATCCCCAGTGGGGGGTCAGACTTACTCAAATCTCAGCATTTCTCCAGGACCAACCCACCCACTCACATTCACCTGTCACCCAGCTGCCTTCTGGTTCCAAGCCTGCACCTCTTCACTGGACTGGTGAGGGGGTTGTCAGTGTTTTGCTTCTGGGCCTACTTTCATCTGTGTATTTGAATTCTTCCATTGTGATGGGCTACTCCCTGGCTGTGGTCCTCACTCTCCAGTGGCCATGGGGCCTTGGGGAAATTGTTACTATATTCAAAAGGATGCATTGCAAAAATCTCCCAAGGCAGGCCTTTTGGCAATTTCACCTCTCAGCTTTCACCTTTGCTGATCTTTGTTATTTCAACTATCACAATGTGGGCATCTGCAAAGATGTTGCCATGCTGTGGAAGCTCTGACCTTCTTGACTTAATACCTGGAAAATTGATTGTACACCTCTTTCCCTATGCTCTGTCATGCCATTAATCTCACAATAAGAAAGAAATAACATAGAAGTCCACTGGTGAGATAAACCTTTTCTAATCACCTGGCTAGTTTTAGAATTTAATCTGTGAGAAAAAGATTTAAGAGGAATTATAACCAAGAAATTGTGAGATTGAGTTAGTTCCACAGCCTGGCGAGTGAATGAGGTTGTCCTCTAGTTTCTCAAGAGACTCACAATATAACTGAATATTATATATGAGCTTTCACATTTTAATTTACCAAACTCTTAAAAGGAATTAAGCTTTATTACTATCAATACCTTATCAAACATCTACATTTGCCTTGGGAGTTATGGAGAAAGGGAAAAACTATCCTATATAATAAAAAACCAGTGACCATAGCATAATGACGGGAATGACCTCTCGACCAGTCCCTGAGGTGGGGGACCAGCGAGGGGAACCAGGGGGGTCGGCAGTGGAGGTGGGGCAGGACCCAGGGCCAGCAAGGGGAACTGGCTAGCTGGTGGGCGTGGTGGGGAGGGACCAGGGACTGCCAAGTGAGCCAAAGATGAGCCTGATAACAGGCTGGGCCTGGGGACTCTACCCACTCATGTTTTCATGTGCTGAGCCTCTAGTTAATTCATAAGTAAAGATTACATCAGCTTAGCCAGCATTTAATGTTTGAAAACTTCCCCCCTTTGTTCAGGTAATACCAGTCACTGAGAGTTATATGTCTTTGGGAAACTTTAAAGTTAGGAAATGCTAATATTTCACATTACTAATTTCTAAATCCTGGGAAAAAGAGCCTAGAGAACTTCTGAATATAGAGAAGTTCCAGGCAGGGAAGAAGTACCCATGTAGAGGTATCAAAATATTACATACACATTCTAAACTGAGACTTACTCCTCAAATGTATTCATTTTACTTGTCCCAAAATAATATCCACAAAATATAAAGTTAAATAATAAATTGTTATTTTTCCCACTGTGAGAATCTTTAATGTGAAATTTATTCTATGAAAATACAGGGTGTGTGTTTTTTAAGATTCTGTAATAAAAAAAGAAAAACAACAAAAAATTATATCCTTCAGTGTGGATTAAAAAAATAGGCACAACTGCTCTCTTGCTTTTCCAATTTCAGTAAGTTCCTATAGACATATGCTTTTAAACCAATTCAAAATATGCAGGCTTATTATTATTATCCCAACCAGTAATCAAACCCACAACCTTTCAGTGTTCCAATTCACTAAGCCATCTGGCCAGGGCTCAGACTTATTTTAAATGTGGGAAATGATATAAGCCCTTAAATTGAAAAAGAAGTAATTACAGTTGAAAACTGCATGTCTGTATCCTTTAGATTAGGGGTGTCGAACTCAATCAGAGAAGGGGCCAAAATCTAAAATCCAGCCTAAATCACGGGCCGAATGGTTTACTGAACAGTCATAAACTGTCATTGTGATGGAAACGCAGCGGAGTGCAGTGATGACAGGGCGGTGCGGGCCACATTGCAAGGCCTGGCGGGACGGATTTGGCCCGTGGGCCTTGTGTTTGACACATGTGCTTTAGGTAATAGTCGTTTGACTCATTCTCTAGATTTTATGTGTAAAAATTGTATCTTGTGTCATTTGTTTCTTAAAACACATCAAGAAATTAGAGGAAAAATAAAAAATTTTAAATATTGAAAATTGACTTTCTAATTTCTAGGAGTCATGTTGTTTTACTAGACTGAGAATTGAATTATACACAAGACATGGTGTGAGTGGAGGCGAAGAAATGCAAAGATGACAATGACATGTTCTTCAATATACCTAATTAGTTTGATATTCAGAACTTTACAGGACAGGTGAGATTATTTTACTGAGGAGGAAATTGAGGAATAGAAAGGTTAAGTTTCCTAAAGTTACACAGTTAAAGGGCAGGACTGTGATTTGAATTCAAAATCCATACTTTTCATCTATTTGCTATAAGATTTGTTATACATAATTAACAAATACTATATAATGGAAAGCAATGTGCCAGTAGGAGTGTGCAACTAAGTTATTTTGGGTATCATCAGCAGGGGAACATCACTTTAAGACAGGGAAGACTTTCTATAGTAAAATGCAATTGCCTTGAACCTTAAAATAAATAGACATTTGTAACTATATGGAGGTGATAGACAATAATTTTCAAGAAAAGCAGTAGTGCAGGAGCAGGAAAATGTGACCAGTGTATAGGAATGAATGAATAATCCAATTACTAAAAAAATAAAGAAGTCAACATAGAAATATTTAAAACTAGATGCCTGATGCATGAATTCGTGCTCAGGTGGAGTGCCTCTGGGTGGCCTGAAGGGATCAGGCCTAAACCCGCAATCCAATGTCACCTGCAGCTCCTACCTGCCAGTCCTATGCATCCTGGCCCCACTGTGCCTGCTGGGGCTTGCAACCAATCAATCCTGATCAGGGGAGGCTCATGCTGCCTCAGCAGTGCTCACCAATCATGAGCCCTGTGACTAGTGCCCTGCTAAGGACAGTGGCCTGCAGGATTGGGCTGAAACTGGCACTCCAACACCTCCCAAGAGGTCACAAATTTTGAGAGGGCGCAGGTCAGGCTGAGGGATCTGACCAGTGCATGATCGGGCTGGAGAGGACCATGGAAGGGCTTCAGGGCGTGTCCAGTCCATCTCACTAAGTCCTGATCAGCTGGAGCCCAACAGCAAGCTAACCTACCAGTTGGAGCATCTTCCCCAGAGGGTCAGTGCACGTCATAGTGACTGGTCAACCAGTTGACTGTCTGCTGCCTGGTGGTCAGTGCATGTCATAGCAAGCGGTTGAGCAGCCTTAACATATCATTAGCATATTACACTTTGATTGGTTGTTTGGTTGTTCTGCTGTTTGGTCTATTTGCATATTACCCTTTTATTAAGTATACTGTATACTAATAAAAAGGTAATATGCTAATTATACCAGATAGAATGGATGTCCTTCCAGACAATGCCACAGTGGCGGAGCCAAGGTAGAGCCAGTTAGAGGCGATCAGGCAGTCAGGGGAAAGCAATTAGGGGCAGTCAGGCTGGCAGGGGAGCAGTTAGGAGCATCAGGCAGGAGGGCAAAGTGGTTAGGGGTGATCAGGCAGGCAGGCAGATGAGTGGTTAGGAATGTCCGACTGCCAGTTTAGGCCCTATCCCGCAATTAGACATCCCCTGAGGGCTCCTGGATTGGAGAGGGTGCAGGCCGGGCCAAGGGATCCTCCCCCCATGCATAAATTTCATGCACAAGGCCTCTAGTATAGGATATTGTAGGCATACACACAGATTTAAGTAACACCACTTTGCCTATACATACTCGTCATGATTTACCTAGGTCCCTGTTCCTTTCCTGAACTGTGCCTCATTCTTAGGGTTCACCCCTGTTTTAGGATCTGTCTCTGGTTTAGGTCCCTCTCCAGACTTGGGGTCTGCAACTGCAAAAAACTTGTTCCTCTCCCTCTTAGTCCCAAAAAGAATTCAACAGATATTTTCACATTTTGCAGAATTTCCTCTTTAGAGAATACTGAAAATGATTAAATGTTTATTTTTTAATTTACTCATGTACTAGTTTTGATACTTACCATTGAAAACCTGGTGAAAGTTTCCCAGACACCAACTTGAGCAAAGTCAGCAGTCTTTCCTGATTTAACAGTTCACATTTTCTCCACAATACTACCTGTATTAGTTTTGTCATTATAATTACTGCTTTTCTAGTAATTTTGTTTAAATATAAAGACATAACAAATGCACAATTCTCATTTAAGAAATAAAAGTATGTGGCAAATAAGAAAATTGAATTAAATTAGCAAAAAATGAAAATTCGAAATAACAAATCAGATGTGATAACATGATCAACACAAAAACTGTAATCAGCTGAAATAAAGGAATACAAAAGCGAAGGTTAAAACTGTATGAAAATAATATTATAATTCATGCAAATTATATTTAGATAAGAACAGATCCTCATATATGCTATAATATAACATACTCCTTAAAATATCACCTAAATGCCCAGGTGGCATAGC